CTCAAATTAATTTTTAATGAGTAGAACACAAGTCGATCTTCAATAATTTGGTTCATTTTACAGTCTTATCTACCATTGCTAGGAGACATGAGGTGTGCGCTTCTATGACTTCTCGATGTACAGATCAAATGTTACGAAAAAAGAGCTTCCACCCGTTACAAAAAAAAATTGAAAAAATTATATATATATATATATATATATATTTAGCCCAAGGGCTACAGATTAATTTTTATATATGCACTTTTATGTAATTTTTTTGTTTTTTATACACGTAGTATTTCTGAATTCACAAAATTATTATTATTGTTAATTTTTTTGACTAAGTGATATCCAACCACTTTACATTCTTCATCGCCGACATAACTTTTTTGGGTAGGTTGTATAAAATTATATAAAATTATGTGATTTTTTTTTCTTAGTAAAAGAAATTTTATTGGTACAAATCAGAAGTACAAGACAAAAGACAACATTAATAAATAAAAAAAAAACTATCATACTGCTAGCAACATAAAATCAATCCCAATTAAATTAATACTGAAAAATGAGTTCAATCATACATTAACCCAACACAAAATTAATGAGGAACCACACCACCAATGAACCAAACAACAAAACAAAGGGCAACACCAAACTTCACTACTAGCAACATAAAATTATGTGATTTTTTTGTGGTGTCTTCATTTTCACACCCATAATTATCTTTATAAAACTATCATACTTAATCTATTATTATTATAAATTTTTCTATTTATAAATTATTTTTAAAAGAATAAAAAAAAGAAGAGAGAGAGAGAGAGAGAGTGAAGCCGCCTGCTATTGAGGATTACTGCTACTGGGGATTATCTGGCTTAGTGGGTTTTCGTTTCTGAAGCTTCAGAATATGCCTCCGGTTCTATGCTTGGTGGAAGTTTAATGATTTGGTGTTTGGTGTTGGAAAAATTTTCGGTAATAATTAATTAAAGTAAATAAAATAAATAAAGAAAATAATAAAATTAAATTTTATAATATTTTTGTAGATGGTTTATGAATAAGTTTGTGATTGAGGCCAGTGTTTGAATATTGTGTTTTTAAGACAGAATTTTGTCCTCTCCAATGGTGCTTGAGGACAATGGACATCCTGTCTCCATGATACAACAATCATCACAAATGAAGAGTGCACACTCTTTGATTTTTTGCACTCACAAAATTTAGATTCACACAGATAAAAAATACAAGAAGAATGCTTGAACTTGAGGAATTTGGAATTAAAATTGTAATGGGAGTTGCCTTTATATAGGTTTGTTGGTATCTGTTTAGTTTGAACAGAAAAGATAAACAGAAAAGATACAAATAAGAGACTGACCCTTCTTTTAAAATAAAAAGATATCATGAAAATATTGCACCCTTTTATTCAAATAGTAGATTGCACCATTTCATTAGAGTTTATTTCAATTCACCACTACCTTTGTAAATTTTCCAACATTTGATTCACGGTCCATTATGGTTTTTAGTCCAGCTGCTAGCTTAGTTTGATGGTTAACCCTTTGACTGTAGGGGTGGAGCAGGGATCCTCCCCTTGACTCCTTACTTGGTGGATCCTTGGACTTACTTTTAAGTTTAATTTTGATAATTTAAACCGTTAAAGGAGATGATCCTTGCTCCTAGGGCAGGGCTGGGGACTGTTTTGGTCTGTTGTTTGGCTGCTTTCACTGTTCTTGGACTGTTAGTTGGGTGTTTGTATTTTTTTTGTGATTTGTCTCTCCGTTAGTCACTTACCAATTTAGTGTTGTGTTAGTAAATGATTAAATATGTAATTTGATATTAATATAGTTGGAATGATTTTGCTCACTATGATATTTTTTATGCTTGTCATTCGTTATTGATATTGTTATATTTGTACTTTGCACTATGCTTTCCATCAATAATTTTTTTTTTACTGATAATAAAAATAATTGTTTGTGATCTTTTTATTTTAAATAAAAATATTTTTATAACTTAAAAAATGATAATGTTATACTATTATAGATGATTTTTCAAAAAATTGTGTTTGAAAATCATTTGCCTAAATATAATCATAAGAAGAAGAGTGCATTCAAAAGAATTGGAGCATCCAATTCAATCCAATCCGCCCTTGTGTGCCGTCATGAGCTCTACTTTAGTAATTTGCTTATTTTTTTATGTAGATTATTTATATAAAAAAAATTAAATTAAATTAATTATTATAATTATATGATTATGATTTCAACAATATAAAAAATGTCATATCATTTGAGCTGATTTTATCTTTTGATTTTAATTTGTTAACCAAGAGTACAAAGGTAGTACAACAAAGTTATAAATAAAGAAGAGTTTTTTTGTTTTGAAGGGTCGAGTTTTGGTACGTTTTTGTGAAGGGTCTACGTCGTCGCTCAAATTTTTGTTATTATTATTTTTTAATTTCGTTTGTGTTGATATAAAATATTTTATATAAAAAAAATATTTTTCTTATAAATTAATTTTACACAAAAAAATGTTTTTGTTTTTGTTTGACACTTAAAATAAAAATATTTTATTACTTAAAAGAAAATTTTTGATTCAATAAAGTATTATTTATAACTTTATAATGAGTTAGGCCTCGTTAAAATGATATTTTTTTGACTATTTATGAAAAGATGTGCAAAAAAATAGAGGGAGTGATGTGATAACTTATACTAGTAACTTTTTAATTTTTTGACTAAAATGTATAGTTGACAAATGAAGCCTTATAATATTTATTTGAAAAAACTAATTGTGTTGAAAAAATAATGAGTAAGGGTCAACTTTATAAAAATGGACTTACGATATTTTTAAAAGTAAGTAATTTTTCAAAAAAATGATATAAAAATATTTCATAAAAAATATATTTAGTTATTTTTTGTTCAACACAACAATAAAAAATGAGTAAAATAATTTTGAAAAAAATATGTATTTTACCTCAAAACAAACGGAGTTGTAGGCCTCATTTGGGAGCAAATTATTTTAGTAACTTTTTGATTTTTTATGAAAAAATATATAGAAAAATAAAAAAAATGATGTGACAATTTATAATGACTTTTTAACTAAAATATATAATTGACAAACGACGTCTTAATTTAAAAAAATTGTGACTTGAGTTTGGTTAGATGTATTACTCTTAAAATAATTGTGTTACATATCTAGAAAAAGTTACTCAAAATTTAGAAATGCAAACAAGATTTTTTTATTTTATTTTATTTTATTTTGTGTGTGCGCGCTCGCATATGATTCACATACTTTAACTTTATACTTACTCCACTTTTGTGATAAATTTTTAAAAATTTCTTGGTACCTAAAATTATTGCTCTGGAAAACCATATCCAGACAAACTCAATATGATTTGAACAACTTGAACTTTTTAATTCTCAAACTTTTTTTTTAAAATATTATAAAAAATTCTGAACATCGAATCTTTTATTTGAAATTATATGACTAAAATTCTCAAATAATATTAGTTATATTTATATATATAATATTTACAAGGTAGTTTTATTATTTTATAATGTGTCAAGTTATATGCTAACTAGGGACGGAACCAAGATTTCATCATCGGAGGGGTCAAAAAATAAATAAATTTTTTGTATTATATACATATACACGTATGTATGTACAATATGATATATAAATTATGTATATACACAAAAAAATTCAAATACCACAGAAGTAATTTCTAATAGGATAAAGTTTTTTGAGTACAAAATAAAAAGAGAGTGCAAGATAAAAGAAAAATGAGATATATATTTTTTATATTGGGGGGCATTTTATGTATAAAATTGAATAGATTTTTAAAATACTATAACAAATCATATTTTTCACAGAAACTGGGGGGCCATGGCCCCCTATAGTCTTCTCCTAGTTCCGTCCCGGATGCTAACTGTTCCAAAAAAAAAGGGTTACATGCTAAAAGGTTAAAAGCATCTTTAATGCTTTGTCATTGGAGCTGTTATTGTCATAATTTGATAGTTGGAGACAAAAAATGTGCTCCAATGGTTTGTTATGGTAGCTGCCAAAATTTAGCAAATGCCAAAATTTGTGTCAAATTTGACACAAGTTTTGACAACTGTGATAATTGCTAACTCATCAAACAAAACTCCTCTCCCTCCCACCCAACAAACCATCCCTCCTACCCGTTCGCTATTTTTGTGGGCGGTTGTCTGACTGATCGTCTGAACACACCAGTTTTTACGTTTGATTCTGCCGAAATGATAATTAACTGTTGGAATACCACTACTATAATTCTACCATTTTCTATTATTTATTGTCATAATTTGGTAATGACAATATACCATTATAGTATTTGTCATTAAAGATACTCTAACAATAGTAGTAAACAATAATACTATCATAATTATATATATTAATTTATTAATCACATAATGTGTGAATATTGTATTAATAATAGATGACCGATAAAATCCATTGAATCAGAATAATGACACATGAGATAAAGAAAACAATTTAAATAAATAAATAAAATAATCATAACCTTATAGTCAAAGCTATTATTCATTCCTATGTTGTGTTTGCAGCCTCTAAACGATAACCCTCAAATCAAATTCATCCCCAAAAAAATAAAATAAAATAAAATAAAATCCAAAACTCACTAAAAAAATGTGATTTTTTTGTTTTATTTGAGAAGTCGCTATTCTCACTTTACTTTAGTTTAAATATATATATTTTTTGCTCCTTGTTATACATAATTACATTAATATATTTTCACACAAAATACACTCTTTAAAAAAATTAAAATTTCAAAAATATTAATATAACTATATATAATAATGACAAAAACAAAATAAATGCATTCAAAATAAAATAACGTGAAAATAGCGTCTTCTTTTATTTATTATTTATTATCTTATATTTTATGTTCCTTCAACCTTTAACAGTGGTGTCACTATGGTTACTATTTTAATGGCATTTGTACTGCGATTGGTTTAAGTGTTAAATAGGGTAAAACCTAAGCTATATAAAGGGGTGTAGATGATTACTAGAATTCATAACCAAAAACCCATTTTGAAGTGAAGATGGGAACAAAAGTGATGAGGCCTTCAGTGGCTTCTCTAATCACCAGTCTCCTAGTGGCATTACTGTCTCTAAGCTTGCCATTAGAGACCACAGCTAACTACCATTACTCATCTCCTCCACCACCTCCCAAGAAGTACCCACCACCACATCCTCATCCTTATCACTACAAATCACCACCGCCGCCGCCGCCGGTACACTACTCACCGCCACATCATCCCTACAAGTACAAATCCCCACCACCACCGCCGCCTCCAGTTTACAAGTACAAATCACCACCACCACCATCACCGCTACCACCAGTGCACCACTTACCACCACCACATCCGTATAAATACAAATCTCCACCGCCACCACCAGTGCACCAATTACCACCAGTGCACCATTTACCACCACCACATCCGTACAAGTACAAATCTCCACCACCACCACCAGTGCACCATTTACCACCAGTGCACCACTTACCACCACCACATCCGTACAAATACAAATCTCCACCACCACCACCGCCTCCAGTTTACAAGTACAAATCACCACCACCACCATCACCGCCACCACCAGTACACCACTTACCACCACCACATCCGTATAAATACAAATCTCCACCGCCACCACCAATGCACCAATTACCACCAGTGCACCACTTACCACCACCACATCCGTACAAATACAAATCTCCACCACCACCACCAGTGCACCATTTACCACCAGTGCACCAATTACCACCAGTGCACCACTTACCACCACCACATCCGTACAAATACAAATCTCCACCGCCACCACCAGTGCACCAATTACCACCAGTGCACCATTTACCACCACCACATCCGTACAAATACAAATCTCCACCACCACCACCAGTGCACCACTTACTACCGCCAATCCACAAGTCTCCACCACTGCCACCACACAAGAAGCCCTACAAGTACTCGTCTCCTCCCCCACCACCCTACAAGTACAAGTCTCCTCCTCCTCCCCCTCCAGTTTACAAATATAAGTCACCACCGCCACCACCTCCGGTGCACAAGCCACCACCCCACCACTACCACTACAGCTCACCTCCTCCTCCCCACCACTACTAAGAAATGGCTTTGATATAGTTCTAAGGTAAGCTTAACCTGTAATTCAATATATGTACATAGCACCTTTTTTATGGTCCAATTACCACACGACAGATCAGCAAAATTAGACAGTGATTAGTCTCAATTACATTACATCGGACTTCATGATTCGTTACGTTATATATAGGTATATACATAGTATGACTCCTAGGTATTTTTAATTTTTTTTAGCTGCTAGTATTCTTTTAAATAGATAAATATATATATGGGTTAAATATATATTGGTCTCCAAGAAGTGGAGCTGCTGCTGACTTGTTTCCTGCTGTGTGCTTGTTAGTTGTGTTGCTGGTTTTGTTGTTTTTGGTGGCTTCACCAACTTCTGAGGTGTGTGTTAGTATATGATTGGATATTTTTCGGATGCTAATTTAGTTGGGATTATGTTGTTATGTTTTGCACTATTTCCTCTTTATTGATGTAATTTAATATGCTATATATGTTGATTGCCACCAATAAAGTTTTCTTCTGTTGAAAAAAAAAAAATTAAAAATAAAAAAAAAAGTATTTTCATCCAAATTTTATATCAGAAACAAGGGTATTATTGTCCAAATTTGGATAGAAACGACACTAGGAGCCATTAAACACAAATTGAATAAGTTGGATTTAATTGAAAAATATCAAAAATTAAAATAAAATAGAACATATATTTTGAAGATGGATAACATATTTAACCCTATATATATATATATAGTTATATAAAGTACGTAACTTTGTGAACTCTTTTTTTTTTCACGTAATTTTGATTTCCAAAAACAACAATAATTTATATTTTTTTCACATATTTTCTCATTCATATATATACACCAAAAGTTGAAATGACAGAAAGGCAATATATTCTTGCAGGAAAGGAGCTGAATAAAATAAAGAAGGCCAGTGTTTGCAAAGCTTTTTTAATTAGAGAAGAGAGAGAAGGAAGGCAACAAGAAGATGAGGACGAGCAAGAAGAAGTAGAATAAGCCAAAAAAACAGCCTGTGTGTTTGATTGTATGTTGATAATGTTGTAATATTGCAGTGGTCCATGCAAGTATGCATGTATGAATGTTTTGACCTCTTGACAAGTGTGCAGAGAGGTCATTTATATAATAAAAAAGTGATAATGTTTCATCCTTTCACATATGAGTATTGCTTCATATCATACACCTCCAAAATGAACTCAATGTATATATGATAATACATAAATATCAATACCAAAAAGTGTAAGGTAAGAGTGAGTAGAAAATTCAAGGGGAAATTACAATTCAATGTAATTTTTAAAAAATAATTTCACATAAGTGGTAAACTTTACGAATAGTAATAATTAAAGTTATACACTTATTCATAAATTTGTAATTATTTTGTGAAAAAGCCATTAAATTGTAATTTTCCCAAAATTATTCAATAGGTAATCTAGATTTATATTAATAATATGGTTCTCCGTGTGTGTATATATATATTTTGACAGAGTCTCCTCATAGTTAAAGAAAATTATTAGGTGATCCTGAGAATGATCATGTAACAATATAAGATAATATACTAGTTAAGACTATTTGTGCAATTTAGGATTGAAAAATAATTTAAATAAGCACAAAATTTGATTATTAAAAATCTTATTTGAAACTTTTAACTTACTATAAAATGCTCCAAACACGACCATTATTGCCCAAAACACGAGCTACAAGAAAAAATCTCATGATAATATAAGTCATCATCACCCATAAATGCATGATGTTCTTTGACAATTCTAGATGGTAAAAATGTTATTAATATAAAAATGATAATAATGTACAAACCACATTTAAATTGAGACACTGGTATATGATAATGTTCTAAAACTATACAATTGTGTTGTGGGATTGAATTATGAATTTGAGTAAAAATTGAAAAGAAAAAAAATGAAAGAAAATGTAAAATAAAATAAAATATTGTTTTATTATTTATTTTTCTCTCTATAAATTCTTACCAAAATTTAAAATCTAAATATAACTATCATCATAAGGTCCCGGTGTCTCACATCGAGAATGGAGGAGAGTTTCTGGACTTAAAAATAAAAACCTAAACCCTTATATAGCATCGAGGCTTTTTCCCTGATAGTGAAATCCCTAAAAGAACTCTCCAGTTAAGCATGCTTAGGCTGGAGTAGTTATAGGATGAGTGACCCACTGAGAAGAACAAATCCATGCTGGCGTGGCCCAAAGCGGACAATATCGATGATATGTGAAGGGTTGGGGCATTACAATTGGTATTAGAGCCGACTCTCCGGAGTACCGAGTATGGGTCCCTAGTGTCTCTCGATGTATGTGGGGCAGGCTTGTAAGCTGGTAGGCTACTGCATGGAGACGTGCAGCCCTAAGAGGGGTGGATTGTAAGGTCCTAATGTCTCACATCAGGAATGGAAGTGGAGTTCCTAAGCTATAAAAGTAAAAATCTGAACCCTTATATAATATCGAGGCCTTTCCTGGGTGTTGAGATTCCTAAAAGAACTCTCTAGTTAAGTGTGCTAAGGTTGAAGTAGTTTTGGGATGAATGACTCACTGAAAAGAACAAATTTGTGTCAACGAGGCCCATAGCTATCAATATTAATAATATGTGAAGAGTGAAGGTGTTACATATTGGTGTCCCTTGTTTCAAGGAAGGGATTAGTGAGTAATAGAAACACGTGGTGTCCTTGACCACCTCATGATTGGTTAAGTTGAACTCATATTTGAACTATTTTTAATCTTTTATCTACGAAAATTAATAATTAATTGTTAAATTAACGCTTAAAAAAAGGTTGAACTCACATCTATCTTGACAAACACTTAGTTCCCGTTTGTTTCACTGGATATAAAATAAAAGATATAATATGATGTGTGATTTAATTAGGATATATAATGAATAAGATATAGGTATTGGATAGTATATCCCTTAAGTTATGTTTGTTGACTTGATATATAAGATTAGATATATATTATGCATGTTTGTTTTACAAAATATATTATGAGATATAGCAAGTAATTTTTAAGATTGCCCTCATAATATTATATTATATAATGGGGGTGGTATCGTATATCCTCTACTTTTGAGGGATATACAATCCCACCGGATATTATATCCCCTTCAAAAAAAAAATTATAAACATGAGATATATGTATTTTACCGAATATAATATCTAATCTCAATCTTCCCATCTCTCAATCAAACAGAGCCTTCCGTCTCGCTTCACATGATCTCTCCTTGAAAAAGACTTGATAACTAAACTGCAGGATGCTAAAACTCTTTGTCCTATATCACAAGACTTTGAAGTCTTTCAAAAAAAGTGAATGACCTTATTATGGGGGCAATTGTGATGGTTGTCTGTGGGGCAATTTATTGTAGGAATTTTTTTTTTAATAAAAAAACCCAGATTTTGAGAATCACTAAAAACCTAATTTTAATTTTGAGAAAAGTATTTTCACACAAAAACAAAATCATACGGGGACGGTGGTATTTTCTAACTTTTTTCTGTCTTTTGTTTTCCGGAAAAATAAAACGTAAATACAATTAAACAAGGTTTTTTTTTTTTTAAATTTAATTTTTCCCTCATTTTGTTTTTCCTCTATTAATTAATGTATTTGAACGTTGGATTTGACGTGTATGTTTCACGGTCAAGCATGCAAGGCCCAAAGTACAATATATATAATTTGTTGTGGAACATCTTTATAGTACACGTCATGACTAATTCTTCTTATCAATTACTGCATTAGAAAAATTTGTGGACTCTGAAAAAAGTTAAATCGGAAATTGAATAAAGCGTGTAAGTGTAAATTTAAAAATGTATATTGTTGCCTTAGTTTTAGCAAAAAAATATTTTTTTACTAACAATTTTATGTTTGATTGTAATTTTGAAATTAACGAAAAATATTTTTTTACTAACAACTCTATGTTTGATTGTAACTTCGAAGCTAATGTGTGGTAGTAGTAGTTTTGGTTTGACGGTGGTGATAGTGATAGTAGGTTGATCACGTTCGGTAAGATTTAAATTAGAAAATATTTTTGGAAAATTTACCCATAAGTCCTAGTTTTTGAAACCTTGAACCATTTAGTCCTAAAAGTTTTCTTATGCTCCATTTAGTCCCATTTTTACATCAACATGATGTGAATGATGTAAATGATCTGATGTGCCTTAGTTTTAGCAAAAAAATATTTTTTTACTAACAATTTTATGTTTGATTGTAATTTTGAAATTAACGAAAAATATTTTTTTTACTAACAACTCTATGTTTGATTGTAACTTCGAAGCTAATGTGTGGTAGTAGTAGTTTTGGTTTGACGGTGGTGATAGTGATAGTAGAGTGATCACGTTCGGTAAGATTTAAATTAGAAAATATTTTTTACATTTTAAAATAAAAAATATTTTTATCTAAATAAATATTTTTCATGATAAACATTTTTTATGGACTTTTATTTTCCGTCAAAAGTCAGTAGAAAAATGGTGGTTTTGATGTGACGTTGGCTGGTGGCAGCATTAGGGCAGTGATGATGGGGGCGGTGGGTAAGACATGAGTTTAAAAATTATTTTTTAATTTTTAAAAGTAAATAATATTTTTTCATTCAAATAAATTTGATGTTTATTGATAAAGGAAAAAAAAAATTCAATTTTTTTATTGTACAAAATATTCAAAAAAAAAAAATCACTAAAACTAGTAAGCGTTAATGTGATATAAATTGTTTTGGTAAATTAGTTAAAAGTTAATATTTTAGTTCATTTTAGTTTTTTTTGAAAAAAATGTATAAAAAAATAAAGAGGTAATGTAACCAAAAATAAATTAAAAATTAGCTTTTGACTTTTAGCCAAATTCCTAAATTGAGCCATAGACCACACTATATATATATATATATATTATCAATTATTATTAGAGTAACTTTTTTGGAGACCTTTGGTTTTGCCCTTTTTTATTAATTTTTTGACTAATAAAATAAAAACTTATTTGTTTTTGTTAAAAAATATAAAAGAAAAAGATCCACTTGATTTTTCCGCCAATGAAAAGTTTTTTAAGAAAAATATTTATCAAAGACATTTTTTAAAACAATTTTATCATAAAATCAAATGACCAAACTAGCCCTAAGATGAAACAAAATTAGTAGTTAACTAAACAGCAGTGCTACAGAGCTCTAATTAGAGCTGCACTGCAGCAGCTCTAATGAGCTAGCGCACGTATTAAAAAAAAATAAAAATAGTGAGATAAAAGACAAAATATGAGAAAGAAAAAGACAAATTAATGCTCCATTAGAGTTCTCTTTTTAAAAGTCTAACTCATTTTTCTTAACTAAATTATCACTTGCGCAAATGAAAAAGTCAATAGAGATATAAGTGTCGGTTTATCTATCTCTAAAAATTGTAGGCCTTGTTTGGTTTTTTTTTTAAAATTAATTTTTTTTTAAAAAATAAAAATTAATTTGATAAAAATAAATATTAAAAAGATATTTTTAAAATTTAAAAAAATACTTTTGACCTTTTAAAAGATAAAATTATATAAAAAAAATTATTTCTTTTACTAAATTAATTTTTAATTTTAAAAAAAATCTAAAAATCAAATCAAACATGGCTTTAGTCTCCTAATTTGATAAGCCAAAAATATCCCAAAATTAGCTTCCCAAACGCCATGGGTTTTGGTAAATAATTTAGGCATGGCGTTTGGGAAGCTAAGTTTGAGATATTTTTAGCTATTTAAGTTATAAAATTAAAATAGATTTTTTAATTTAATAAAATAAAATATTACATTTAATTCATAATTATTACATTTTTTCTCTCACAAAAAGTAAAAAAAAAATCAAAAATCCTTCCTAAATAAAACTTTTTAACCCTAAATTAAAAAAATTAAAAAATTAAAAAATCAACCCACCTCCCGAACAAATCCAAAATATGATAACAAATCCAAAATATGATAAAAGAGTCTGGAATCTCAAATCTAAGGAGTGTCGGGTCCATGTGAGATTTTGCAAAAGTTAAAAAATGTGTATCTTACAAATTTTTTTGACATGACACATTTTAAGTAAAATTAAATAATGAATGTCTGGTTTGAAAAATTATTACTTTAGTCGATTTTTTTTAATAAAAAAATTTTAAAAAATAATGTGACAATTTATAATATTTTTATTTTTATGTTTTGACTATAT